AATCGAGTAAATAGAGAAGATATTATTCTGAAATGTTTAAAATTCAAGAGAAATTCTATATCTAATAACATCTAGAAATCAAAGAAGCTTTTGTTGGACGTTAAGCAGTCAACTAAATCCAATAATAGAACCATATTAACAGAAAACCACTTCAACACGAACTTTTAATCTGTTTATAGATAGCATAAATATTTCTTTTAGATTCACGTGATGAAAAAAAAAAACTTTTTCCTGTATGTATGGATGTTTGAGTGAGAGCTACGATTTTGTTCACTCGCTTTGAAGCTTTAATAACTCCTGTGCCTTTTGTCGAAAATTTCTGAAATTTTGCAGGGAGGTTTTCATATTAGGGATATTGATGCTATTAAATTTTGGTGGTTAAAGATCCAGTGAATGGAGAGATAGAGGGGGGATCATGTGTCATATCTCGTTTGGGGTCGGACTTCAATGAAAATTTTATTCGTTATTAGCATTTGTAATTTTTTTAAAAATATAATTCGTCTTAAAAATAAAATCTCGTAACAGATAGCGCCACACACAATTTTCACTTTTTTGCCGGGAAAGTTGTGCAACTCATTGCTGAATTTTATATACAGTGTGTATATATAGGCTATATATATAGTCATTCACATGAGATACGCTGAAATAAAATGATAATTTCGATTTTGTACTTTCGAAAATACGTTTTAAATCGAGCAAAATTTAGAAATATAAATAGAAATATTCATTCCCTTAATGACATTTGTTAGATCTGTGTAAGCGATAAAATATTTAAAACATATTAATTCGAGCGACTCCACCTTTAAGAACTTTAAATTAAATTATAGTAATTTTTTAACGTAACAGAACTTTTAATAATTCAGAATATTTTTGCGCTCGTGACGCATTTACGTAACTTAATAACATTATCGTGTATTTATGGAGGTTTAAACATCGTAAAAGATAAAACCGCAATATTAACTAAATTAAAGGAAACGCGAATTTTGTTATAAAACTGATTGAAAGTGTATAATTTTGAGGCTATTGGGATTTTCGGATAATTTTCGTTTCGACCGATATGCCAACTCTAATCATAGAATGATCTTTGGAAAGCAACTTTTATTAAGATATTTACATTCATTTCCCTGGATGTTTAAGTCGTCATCTTTGAAATTGGGTCGGTCTGTTTACATAATTCTTTATGTAAATAGTAAAAGATTAACCGCTACAAATAAGAGAAAATTAGACTTCATACTTCAAACGGATAGATGTAATGAATAAAAACAACGATAAAAGTATTTTATAACTTTCCTTTAAAATAGATCAAAGAAGTTTTAACAAAAGTTATTTAAAGAATTTTTAATCTACGCTTTAAAAATATCAACATAATTATTGTTTATATTATGCAAACCAGTCTATAAAACGATATTAAACTGCTTTAAAGGAAATATTTGTATTTTATATGTACAATATAAAGTTACGAAACGTATAGGTCGTTACTCCATAAACCAAATTTTACACAAAATACGAATTTTATTACGTAAATAAACGAGAAAATAAAGTTGATTTTTTATTAAATATATTACATATATAGCAAAATAAGCAAATCTATTCTGAATTAATATATATATTACAATTTAATGCATCTTCTAATCTGACTAAAAATGTATAAAGTTATAGAGATACACAGACAGACTAACTATAGAGACAATTACTAATATTACCTATTCTTTTTCACTATTTCAATATAAATTTGAGTCCAATTTATACTAAAACAAAGCATATACAGGATATATTTAACAGTAATATAGAATTTGTACAGACCACCTGACCGGTTTAACATACTTCTCTGTAAACGAGCAATTACACTAAAATTCTTTCTTAAATGAAATTAAAGCGGAGTGGGCTTTCGATTGGGTTCTTTAACACAATAAAATTATATTTATAGTAATTACTAATGATTATAGTTATTATCAAAACGAAACCTAAAAGATAATCAGATAAAATTAAAATTACTGGCGAAACAAGACGATGACGTGTTTCGAGGAGGAGGAAGAAAATTAATGAAAACTAGGATACAGTTGATAGAATGCAAAATATTTTACGTCCAGTTTGTAGCTTTAAAACAGAACTTTTGCGATTAATTATTATTACGAATAAAATCGTTAAACAATGTTATAATGATTATTTAATGGCAGAACAATTAAAATAATTTAAAAAAAATTATATTTATAGTAATTACTAATGATTATAGTTATTATCAAAACGAAACCTAAAAGATAATCAGATAAAATTATAATATAATCCAATACACGAACAAAAAAAAAAACAATTTCAGATATACCTGTACGTCCGAAATATACACTAATAAGTACAAAAAAAAAATCGCTTTATTTAATTAATCTTGATGATTTCCAAAGATAGGCCTGTATATGCTAATATACTTTCAAAGCGTTCGATTTCTCTACTAAAAATNTCTAGTATTCAAATACCTTAGACTCTAGACTGACCTGAAAATTACATTTTACAAAAAATGGATGTTCATTAAATTGATTTTATGCAAATATAAAATGTTTGATAGAGATTTTTAAGAAAATTTCAATAATAAAGACAAAAATTTCAGGACAGTTTCTTAACTTAATTTATAATAAAAAAATTGCATTTAAAATCTTATTTAATATACTTTTTTTTTCATATAAAAGAAAAAGACAAAGGATATTTCACTGTTCTTTGCTGTTATCTTATTAAAAAGTTTATTCTATCTGAAAATATTTTTAAGATAATTTCATTAATCTCTTTAATTCTCAAAAACATCACAGTTTTTAATTTACAATTAAGTAATTTCTCATTTCATAAATTGTTTTTTATAATATATAGTAATTTAATCCTGACAAATGATAAGAAAAAATTTATAATATTTTTTTTCTAGAGAATTATTAAATCTAACATTACGGTGAGTGACAAAAATAATTATTTTTCATTTTGTTAAATTCATTTAATAATTAATATTTTAAAACCATAAAAAATAATCTTTTATTTAATGAATCACATTTATTATATTAAATATATAAAAATAACACATTAAAACATAATTATTTGTAAAAACATTTGTAAGTATTAATAATCTTATTTTAAATTTTACTCAAGATCTTTAATACAAAACGTTTAGTTTTTATGCCTTTATTTAAATCTTTAACTATAATTTTGCCATTTAAGATATTATATTTGATTAAAGGAAAGGATAAAACAAAATTATTGTTACAAAACATAGTTTGTTTAGTCTAATAATGAATTTATTATGCTTAAGTCTAGAATATGTATAAAGGAATATGATTTTGATTCTATAATTTTGATTACATTATTGAATAAGTATTAATAATATTCTAAACTTCAAATTTCATAAACATGACAGACAAATAAAAGAAACTATGATAAAGCTTATTACATAACAAAATTAATGTTTTATTTTACAATACATTGACTAATGATTACTCATACAACCAATAGATATCATATGGCTTTTCAAATTTATAAAAATGGTAGAGGAATGCATATATTTTTATAAATTTATGCATTCCTCTCTCAGAAACTTAATATTTTAAGATAAAATATTAAGTTTCTGAGAAAAAAACGCATAATAACACTGTTTAAATAGGGCAAGAAATATTACCATCTTTTGGACTTTAATTTTAAAAGATAATCTTTAATTATGTCTTTAAATCATCAATTGTAACATAAAAACATGTTGATTTTATGATTTAACATTATATCCAAATCAATGTATTATTAAATAATAACAACAAATAATTCTTATATTCCATAACAAATAAATAGGATGTGGGTCAAATATTTTAGTAAGTGTAAGATAAAAAAAGGGGGAAAAATGAAATTTGCAAACTAAATCTAAAAACCAAGTTTTTTTTTATAAAATACATTTTATAATTTTAAATTTATGCAAATTCTCTCATGATGTATCTATTACTAACAAAATGCTTACAGCACAAAATGAAGGCTTTATTTTGGAATTTATCGAGGAGAGACTCAAAATGACATCTTTTCAGATTTATAAACACAGCAGAATTTAAAGTAACATACGGTATTAAGTTTCGGAGATACTGTATAAACCTGCATAATAATAATAATAAATATAAAATGTAAAAAGAAATCTAATAATTATATTGATTTATTACAGGACGATTTTAAAAAAATAACAAGATGCGGAACAAATTTCAGTAACAATAAAGTTTGTAAAGCCAATCCGAACGGCACAAGATTTTAGTATAATACAGAGCGGTCCCGAGTTTTGCGCCATTCCGTATTATACTAATGTAGCAAAGATTATGTTGGAAAGAGGGTTGGAAAACTGGTAGCGAAAGGAAGGAGGAAGACCAAGGCTGCGACGGAAAGATAAGGCTGAGGAAGACTCGAATCGGAGGGGACTTAAGAGAGAAAATGCTCCCGACAGGAAGAAACATATTAGAAAAGGAAACGCCGACATAAGCGCGGAAAAAGGTGAAGACGAAGAATAAGACAGAGCGACCCGTAACTCGGTTAACCATTCTAGATTCGATTTAATTAATAAAATCTGTTGAATAAACAGTCACCATTCTAATATATTTCTACAAATTTATAAGCCCAAAAATCAGTTAACCATTTCAGATTAGATTTGATTAATTAATAAAAATCTGTTCAATAAACAGTTTACACCATTCTAATACGTTGAACCGATAGATATTTCCAATTACAACTTTTTGAACCTGGAATGGGCCAGGTATTTCATAACCGAAAATTTATATAAATTGTACGGGTGGAAGTTACTTTTCGTCCATTCATTTGTATACAAGCCGAGCAGAAGTGGCTCCCCCCCACCCGATGCGCCCGATAAAATAAACAAACCGAAAACAGACGACAGTTTTGACACTGGCAAAAACCGTTATCGGTCGAAAATTACCGCTTACTTTAAATTAAATGCGATTAAAAAAAACGCGTTTTGTAATTAATTACGTAAAAAAATAAGTTACCTCTTTACGTCTAGACGGATGATTTAGGCGACAAATTAGAGCGGTTCCGTTGCAGACGATGGCCGTGTCTTCTACAAAAACGCAATTTGGAAGATTCTCGTCGGGCGGTAACTCGATTACGTCGACGCCTAAATTTCTTAACGTGTGGCAATATTCTTCGTGTTGCCTTTTCGCTTCTTCTAAATCGAAATCTTCCGTTTTCAGGCTGTTAGGAATGCGGCAGACGATCGCGTGAGTATAACGTAGCGACGCCATTTTAAATTCTAAAGTTCAACTTAGGTTGAAGAGAGTGTGTGTGTGTGTATCGGTGGCTCCCTCTTTTAATCTCGTTACCGGGTTTTATTATTTTCTTTTTAAATTATTTTTATATATGTATACTCTCGTTTTTAATAACGAGAATCAAGATGGCGGCGCTCGAAGGATTACAGAAGAGGATCACGCAAGAATTGGAAAAATATAAGACGATTCAAAAGGGTAAGACGATTAATTCGATGGGAATTGTAACTTTTGTAATTGAAGAAGCTAATGATTTCAATTTATTATTGTAAAATTCCAGAAAATGTGATTTTTGTAGGTTATGTTTCTAATAGTTTTATTGTTACATAATTCAGGGTGTAATATAAGTATTATAACGACTCTTCGTTACAAATTTACGAAATGAGAAACACATAAATCGTGACGGAGATTCCTTTATGGGTGAAGAATGCCTGAAAGGAATCTGAATCCTACCACGTGCCAGATAACTGTTAGAAGTTACATTTATATCGTTTTTTATTGAATGAGCGTTAAGGGTTAGAATCTGATGAGTTCCATGCCGTGGGTAGAATTGTGGCATCCTTATAGTTCAAACATTTCCCCCGAAAGGCTTGCTTCTATATAGTTCCACCTTTTCCAAACTCAATGCTAATGTCGGTGAGTGCACCGGTTTTATGACTTTAGCTTCTTCCCATTGAATGACAACCTTTGGATTGAGCTATTCTGGATAAGCTGTACGACGCTCTCCTTTTCTTATATTGTAATCGTGCTCCCTAAGACGTTCTTTAAGGTTCCTGTTGGTGACCCCTGTGTATTTCTTGTTTGGCCCTAACTGGTCGTTCTTATACGTATTCTGTATATCCCCGATTGCTTTTTATCCTTAATCCTATCTTTGTCATTTCTCAAAAGGTTATATACTATTGGTGCTCTTTTGTATAGTAAACAGTGCCGGCCCGAGGCAAGTTTTAGGATGGAGCGAGATCCTATTATGGCGCCCGAGGTGGAACCCCGCCCACGCACTCGACCCAGGCATGTCTCAACCGATAAGGCCATTCACATACTGGCAACACGTTTGCAATTAAAATATCGAAAAGTGAAAAAAATATTTTTTTCCTTTACTTTTTTTTACCACTGAGGCGGCCCCTAGGACTTAGCGCCTGGAGCGGCTGCTTCATTCGCCCTATGGTAGGGCCAGCTCTGATAGTAAATGTATGTTTTTGTAACTTTCTACTTCCTTTGTAATACCGGCTGTGTTCTTATTATATGTGAACTTAGTTAGTTCATTGGTTTTTTTTTACCGTGGTTACTTGTCGCCTTCTTTTTAAGTTCTTATTGGTATAAGTGCTTATTGATCTTTCAATACTGTTGGCTCCATATCCTAATGTTACGGCAGTGCCCTTAATTCTATCCAGTTCCTGTAACTTGTCATATGCATTGGAGTGGTAAATGAAGACCCTTCTAATTAAAGCTCTAAAAGCCAAAAGTTTGTAACCATAGGAATCGATGGATGAAGATGGAATGTACATAGGGTCATGTTCGAATAACCATCGTACAACAAGATGTCTATGTCTAAGAAATGTATGTGTGTTGTATTCAGTTGCTCCAATTTAAGCTTCAAACCATCTTCGTTTATCTCATCTAAAACATGTTGAATTTTTTCATTTGTCCACAATATGAATACGTCGTCCAGATAACTCTTGTACAAAATTATGTCATTCTTAAAATTCTTAATAGTATTTTTCTCCAATCTATGTAGGACCAATTCATATAGCAAACTAAAACTGGGCTGCTATGTGAATATGATGAAAATGTAATGTATGTCTATAAAAACCTACATTACATTAAATAATACAAAATGTAAATTAATAAACACTGCAAAAACCTAATAAACCAGCAACAATATTTTAAACAAGGTGCAAATGCTGAAAAGTTGTACATAAGAAATTTAAAAATGATAAGATTAAATCATAAATGTAAAAAAAAAAAATCTTCACATATGGGAATCAAACCTAAAAACAAAGCCTCACATGTGACACTTAATTAAACAACGTAACTCCTAATTAGAATGGCTTCTAATTTGAAGAAGGCCTGTCTGTAAATCAAGCTGAAACATTAGTTAGAACTATAAAGAAGTGCTAGAAAAGTATGAAAAGGTATGTTTTTTATATATATATAATTTAATTAATTACACCACACTAGTGCTTCATGGATCAGTTTTCTGTATTGGTATTAATGGTTGTAGAAAACTTTTCCCTAATTTTTTCAAGTATGCTCGAATATTGGGCCATGCAACTTTGGTAGGGTTTAATACAAGTGAATACTATACCTCCACAAAATTTCATTGAAATTGGTGAGGACAAACTGCTGGGTTCTCCTTGTGAGAGTTGACAGTGAAAAGTTTAAATTAACTTGATGGCTCAGAAGATGATATACTTTGGGGCAATGATTTAGATATGAATTCAATGACAGGGATGATTAGTCATTCAAGTGGATACTCCCCTAACATTGTGGCTTTCTTACCACACCATCATGAACAGTTTATTCCATTACTATTATAAATTAGTAAATTTTGTTTAATGCGTAATAAATTAAATTAGATTGTTTTTTTTTTTAATTTTTTTTTTGTTACCAGTATATTAAAAAATGGGATGTGCAGATTATTTGAGTAAACATGGTATTTATAAAATTAGTATTGGGAAATTAAGAGATATTTAAATTGGTAATTTACATAGAATTTAATATTTTTTGCAGCTTGTGCAGATTTGTGCTAGCTCTTACAATGGAAATACTGTAGATTATTTATGAGCTGAGTTTTGGAGTGACAAAAAACTAAGGAATTTTTTACATCACTTGATAGAACATTTATTCCTAAATCAGATTGAGTAATAAAAGTGTTGATTTTCTGTGAGAATCGTAACATAGCAGTGAACAAAACTTTTACATTTGAAGAATGAAAATTTTCAATTTAATTAGATAAGAATTTTATCAACAAACTTGTGACAGATTTCAGGTATTTCAAATAAATTTTCTATCCTTAATGCAATTAACATTATTAAATACAACTTTAGGTAAATATGGATAAAATTGGTGTTTGTTTTACCAACATGATTAATCAACAAGTGTCCTTTTGATTGGTACAAAACAAATTTTGACTATCCATTTGCTATTTGGAAACATTGCTTGTTAGATATATAAATATTGCAGCTTAAAAATATAATTACTAAGACATTTTCAGTTATTTTTTAAAACTTATATATCATTATTGTTGTTTTTCTGTATCTTCTTATTTAGAATTTCTTTACTGAATTAATATAATTCATTTAACAGTAAAAAACATCAAATAATTTCTTGACATTAATTTACCACTAAAGTCTTGTTAAGTGTTATTGAAGGGGTCAGATATAAGACTCCTACAATAAAACTTAACAGGATTGTATTAGAATTTCTTTTGTATATATGCTTTAGTATTTTTCTATTGTATTATTTTTTCTGAAATGTTTGATATTCTTATAAAGTAATCATTTTATAAAACTAATTTTAAGTTTTATTAATAGTGCTATTAATTCATAATAGTTATTGTGTTTATAAGTATTTATTCATGAGTCAGTGGTTTCCTTGGTTAATCATACTTGACTCATATCGAGTGAGGAAATAAATCATTGACCTTTCAGTTAAATTCAATAAATAGTTTGTATTCAATATTCTTATAGAATTTTAAAAACATTCTTTGATAATATTGATTAAGATAGGTAGAATATTACCTATCTTAATCATTTATTATTAAGATATATTATAGAATATATTGTGAGAATATTGGATTCAAATACTTTAATGAAAGAATATGATTTTTTTTAATGCAGACTGTTCATAATAAATAAATAACCACAATACAAATTTAATATAACAGCTTTATTTCTCTGTAAAACAAACATTTTTGATCTTCTAAGATTATCTTTAGGTATTATTTGAAAAATGAAATGTCTGAAGAACACAATCTATTTCAAAGTTTGAAACCTCCAATCAGATGCATGTATTGTGTATACTTGTGTATACTTCCCCCCATTAAAATCTAAATAAAAGAAAAATTGATTAGCTTTCATTAAAACAGACTTTGAATTATTCGTATTTCTATATTATCTGAGTCTCTGTTACTATTATTCTGTTATTCATGCATTATCCAAGCCTCTGTTACTAGTGATTAGCTTGAATAATCGGGAGTATACTGTAACTGATGATCTTACAAGTCAAGTACAGCTATAATAGGCAAAATTGTTTTTAGTTGCATGTCACGCTGATGTATTTGACACAATACCAATTAATTTTAAATGCATTAATTTATTAATTACTTATTTTACAGAAAAACAGTTTACTTGTCTTTAATTTCTTTCAGAATTATCAAGATAATTTATTATATTTAAGTTTTATAATCTTTTTTGACATTCTGGGCTGACCCCAAATAATCTGGGATATAGGCCAGGATGAAGTAAGTTTTATAATCTTTTGGAACACATTTTTATTTAAAATAATATACAGCGACATTCTGTTAACCTGGCATCGTTGGGACTGATACAGTGCTGGATTATCGAATATGCTGACTTATCGGGTGATGGATTTTTTTTTTTTTTCCTGATTTCTTAGATACAATTGTACTGTACATATCTTCACATGTAAAACTGTACAAATCTGCCTTTTATGTTTAATATACCATTTCAATTTTTTTAGACTTGCTATTCATGGTTGGTTTGAAACATAAACACTAAAATCTTTGTTGTTTGTACATTTTTATCTATATATATTATATATACAGTAGAGTGTCGATTATCCAAATGCCGATCAACTGAAACATCGGTTAACCGAAAGAGTTCCAGTCGGACTGTGTCGTGCTGAATCAAATGTTTTTGATACTAGATTAACTTCTAAAGTATGATTTTTTGTTTTTGTTTTTATATTTTTCAATATATTTATTTTATTTGTACAAAATAAAGAAATAATTTTTAACGATACAATAGCCACAATTATTATTATATTATTATAAAAATTTTCATTAGGCTTAAGCGACACACAATGGAGAAAAATTTAAACATGGGATATATTAATATACTATTATTGGGATATACTAATATACTATATTAATAATGTATTTTTTTGTACATAATCGGTTATCCGAAAAATTGATTTTTTTCGAACAACCCCAGTCCCAAATTGATTCAGATAATCGACACTCTACTGTACTAGAATATTATCTTGCTGCATTTCCGAACATCAACGTTCCATCATGATAGGCAGGTATTACAGTGTGATGATGCTCGGATATTTGATCAGAGGAGCCTGGTGTATGTTTGGGAAGCCCTCCTCACCATACATTAAATCCATGCAACTCCCCCATACTTGAGTTGCCTGCAATTTGAGTCAGCTTATATAAAAGACTAAAACATCACTTTTAGCTCCACTCTCGGCACCTAACCTATGCATTATGGCATATGCATGTAATCTCCATATGCACTTTAATTTAAATTCTTTACTTTTGTTTATTCTAAATATAGTTTTGCTCTAAAGGGTTAATGCTATTAGCTTTTAATTTGAAAAGCTTGTTCAAAAGATTTATGCCTGAGGACGACACCTTATAATACATTGAAAGTGCTAGCAGCAAATAAAATGTTAGTTATATGTATTTAACGTCTTTTTGTGAGAGTTTCTTTTCTTATTTAAGTAAAAAGATTGGCGTGACATCCACCTTCAAATTTGATTAATTTACATAAGAATCAGTTAAATAATCATCAAATCATAAGACTCAGATTCAAATATAGAAGTCCATAAATTTACATTACCAGAAATATTTTTGAATCATCTCCATTTATCATCAGCTGGTTTCTGATGAAATAAAAACTCTAAACTTTTATAGTTGAATCTGATTCTTATGATTTGATGATTATGAAGCCATATTTCTTCTGCTGTAATTTCTTGAAATTATCTTTTCAAAATTAATAATAAAGTATGGCCTCCTCCTAGAAGTCTTAAAGTTTAGTATTCTGATGATGACTCCACAAAAGTAGAAAGATTTTTGTATGTTTGTGGAGTCAAACTCTACATCAGAATACAAAATTGACAGGAAGTATCTTATTTTTTCACACTTATTTTGACTTATTATTATGATGTTCTAGTGTTTGAACTTTTAATCTATTAGACAAATTAGACTGGTTCATGTGAATGAGTTTGATTCATTGAAACAGTCCCCTGATTAAAATGCTTACTGATAATTCCTAAAGTTAATATGAAAAATAATATATATACAGTTATTGTTGTATTCTAATAATTATAATACAGTTATTAAAGAACATAAACTACAATGTATTATCTGTAGGTCATGTAACCTACAGATAATACATGCTGAAGCAATTCTTATATAGTTAATAAAGTTATAACTAATTTGTAAATAGGTAATATCATAAATATCCATCAACAATTCGTAAAACAGTAATTTGTTTGAAAGAAAAACTACGAGAAACAAATTACAGAGACACTTTCAGATTCAAAACAAAATAATCCTGCCAAAAATTGCTAAATAATTTCTGTTAGATAATACTGTCTATTGGAGAAATAGTGAAATAAACATACAACAACAGTGAATACATCACATATATTAAAATAAAAATTTCTAGAGCATTTTCCACACCCCAATGTATGACATATGTCAAGGCCAAAAAAGGCAATCACTGTGCAGGGGATACAACAGTTACTGAGAATGGGTTAACAGAAAATGTGAAAATTGTAAAAGGAAATGGCTTAGTCAGCCTGTCAAAAGTGATTAACTTGTGAATAAGCTGCTATTGAATGCATTTCTCAATGATCAATGAATAAAATAATCAATTATTTTATTTACTTTTTTACATGTGTTTTAATATGGAAATGATGATGATGATGATGGTAAGAAAATATGAAAGTTATGATGATAGATAAAAATAAACTAACAACTATAACTCCACAATAAACCTATTATTAATTTAACTATTTAACTGGAATTTATACTATTTAATAATATCTTCAATTTATGTAATTATAGAACAGATTTGGATAAAGATCTATTTATAATTGAAAGCATTTTATTAAATACAATTATAGAAAATATAAAGCTTTCATTACAGAACAAATTTGGATAAAAAGTAGAACAAGAAAATTTTACTATTTTGAATATTGGTAGAAGGATTTTTCTACATAGAGATCCTCTGAAAAGTTTTTGCAGTAACCCGAAATCATTAGGGAAATTGAAGATATAATTAAATAAATAGTGTAAACTCCAGTTAAATGATTAATAAGTAAAGAACCAATATTATATTTCAGTTTTTTAAATGAATAAAAATGCCAACTACAATTCACAAAATTCTAATTAAAAAAAAAAACTAAAAACTTATTATCAATATTATTTTGATAAAATTATTAGTATTTATTTATTTTTTTTTTTTTAATCTAAATTGATTACCTTTTTCAATGTATCAGTAATAGAATGATTAAAGCCAAATTTCAGCTATTTTCAAGCTGCATTAATAGTTAGTTACCATTTAACATGACTGGGAATAGTTGAATGTGCTGCCATCTCATATTAATTTTAATAATTATAATAAATTAATTTTTAAATCAGAAATTTCTGAAAGAATCAGCTCTGAGTGAGACTTGAACCTGCAACTTCTGCTTACTGTGCAGGTGCATTGCCAATTATGTTAATCCGGACCTTTGTCCAATCTTCACTTCCAAAAATGTTAGTTTAGATATAAAAGGAAAAGAAACTGATGAAGATATTTAAAAATTTTTAGAATGCTTTTATTAGCAATTAAACTTTAAGTTCAAAATTCTACCAAACAAGTTATGAATGTATATTTGAATGATACTTTAATGTATTGTAGATAATTAGGCTGCAATTTGAAAAAATTGTAGACCTATAAATTCCCACTGTCATCTGTCCGTCCATCTGTCTTTCTTTAGTCTCAAGAATGGACTTATGTAGATGCAAGACGAGATCAGATATGGAAACCTTAGGGGCAGGAGGCCCCAATTTACTATATATGAACTTTCAATGCAAATCAGAAGTCATACTATTTCAATTCAAAATTTTTTTTCCTGAAAAGTGTTAAATAAATGATTGGTGCGACTTGATTGTTAAAGGAAAAGTATGGTGTACAGGGACAAGCCACTTGAGGTGGAGCAAAAATTTGAGCTTAGCATTGTGACAATATCACAATAAATAATTGCTCATTTTTAATTAAAAAATTTAGTTTTTAATATTTAAACATAAAATTAATGATTTAATAATTAAATGCTTAATACTGAAATTATAATTAAAATGTAATAATAAAATAAAATTTTATTTTTACAGATTTTCAAAAAACTTATTCTTTAAGACAACAGTTAGATGCCCAGTTAAATGAAAATAATGTTGTTAAAGAGGTAAATATAGCTTGAATATTTTTCTGTTTATTGAATAATTATTGATGCATACTGATACATATTAGTTAGTATCCAAAACAGTTTGATATATTCTGTACATTGAATAGAATATTGATTTGTCTTATTTAAAAGAAATTAATTGTATGCTTGAAACTGCAAGTTGTTTTAGTTTCTAAAACTCTTAGATACAGTATGATACTCTCTTCTCTCTTCTTGGTGCCATATCAGATTCCTGACGTCGGCGACACCTGGCGTAGGTTTGTAATCCGCCAAGGTGTATACTAGGGAAAGTTACTACCCAGAGTGGTTTCCCGTTGCCTTCTCTGGGGCGCGATGTTACGCGAGGGAAACGAATGCCTTCCGGGAGGACTTTTATGGGGAACTGGCCTCCTATTTAGTCGTTATTGGTCTAGACACACCTGAGATAAAACACATAATCACAGACTTATTGAGAGTAAAATTCCTTAAACTTTAAAACATTATAAAAGTAACTTAGTAAAAGTTAAAAATTAAAGAGGCAGTGAATCCAATTGCAGAATACTTTTAATAAACCACTGATACCTCTAAATGCATTTCACCTTCGTACCTAAAAGGCCTCCTCAGTAGAGTCAATGGCAGTTTTAGATAATAACATTTTACTATATTTTTTAAATACAATTGTAATTACAGAACAGTTTTGGACTAATAGCATCACTTAGTACTGTTCTTATCTCTCAAAGTTACATTTATATCCTCAATGAGGGGCAGTCGTTGTTTAGGATATAAATGTAACTTTGAGAGATAAGAACAGTACTAAGTGATGCTATTAGTCCAAAACTGTTCTGTAATTACAATTGTATTTAAAAAATATAGTAAAATGTTATTATCTAAAACTGACATTGACTCTACTGAGGAGGCCTTTTAGGTACGAAGGTGAAATGCATTTAGAGGTATCTGTGGTTTATTAAAAGTATTCTGCAATTGGATTCGCTGCCTCTTTAATTTTTAACTTTTACTACGTTACTTTTATAACGTTTTAAAGTTTAAGGAATTTTATCCTTAACAAGTCGGATTAAATTGAAAATTATTTTTTGTGTATTTTTTATAATACAATTAAGTGAATGAAATAGCAACTGACTGCACCATTTTAAATAATTTTTATACAATCAAAGAATCTGCTGAAAGTGTCTACAACTGTGTAACACACACTAGTGAAGACAAAATTTCCAGTCCTCCAGCACATGATGAATCACATAAGGCAAAATTTGCTGACACACTTGCATAATATATTCTTTTACATCTTTGATGATGAGCTTACAAACACATCTGTGTGTGATTGATTTGCAGTCTGGATGGAGCCTATTGAATTTTCTGGTCACTTTTCAGTGATCCCCACCATCAAAATCACTTGAATTTGTTCCTCCATAATTAATCATTACATGATTTTTCTGTAACGACAGAATCAGTAATATGAGAAACTCCTATGGGACACCTTGTAGTACAAGATGTAATAAAAAAAAATAATCAAATGTTATAAAATTAAGCAGACTTTTTTATTACAATTATGATTAATGTTTTTCAAGACATTTCGCATATAGAAGAAACTATTCTGATGTTTGAATTTTTGTTGTGATTTGATGATGATGTGAAATGTCTTGAAAAACATTTAAACATAATTAAATTGCAAAAGGATTCTTAATTTTATACCATTTGAGTATTTTAATGTGTGTTGATGAAGCTTAATAGATTGAAAACAAAGTATAATATCCAGATCAGTGGTTTTCAGTGTATTTGAATTAATTAACCATTGTCATTGTGTTAAAGGTGTTTTTATTATATGTGTAAATGAAAAATGATGTTGAAGATCTTTTTCTCAAATACACAAAAAATAGAGAAACAATTTGCATGTTATTAATTGGTTTTTGAAATTTTGTGGCACATCAGTTCAGAACCAGTAAGATTATTTTAATAATAATAATAATATAATTTAATATTGTAATTATTATAATAATAGTAATACAAATTTCTTTCAGATGACAAAACATTTTCCTTGGTTATCAATATTTCTTGTAAAAATATGAATTGTTTTAAAAAAATATAGTAAAAACTTGATCTAATGTTTTTACTTTCTTATTTCTAATTAAATTACAATGCAAAAATATATACACTAGATTTGATTTTTTTACATAAAATACAGTATTAAATTTGGATAGTAAACTGGATTATTTAATTTTGTTCTGAATAAATTGATCGTTATAGCAAACTGTTAACAAATAATAACTATTTTAGATATTCTCTGTGGTTTAATGTAGTAGAATCAATAAATATCTCTTTTAATATACAGACACATACATAGATTTATTAGTAATATATGCATATAATATTCACATTAATTTAATGAACAATGTAAATCATACTAATTCAAGATAATAAGACTTGACCACACCCAACAGAAACACACTTAAAATGATCATTAATTATATTAAAGTACATTTGCTGATTACTATCACATCCTGAAATAATATGAAATTAATACCCATCAGATAAATGAAAATGATACCAGTTAGAATATACAAATATTGAGAACATTGGATTCCATAGTGTACAGATTGAGTATTATAACTTAAAATATTTCCAAAATTACATTTTATGGGAGAAAAAAAATTTTAATTATATTAATTATTTGACATATTTTGAGATTGTAGCATATTATCCTTGTTGCATTTCATCAATATCTGTGGAAATGTAGACAGCCATTTATCAGATGCTGGAGAAGCTAGAGAGGAAACAAATTCAGTGAACTGACACACTACAAAATCCATTCTGGACAATGAAGGATAAAGGCCCTCTTGTAGTGCAGGGGTTGCATTGCATAGCGCAAAAACCACCACTTGGCGATATTTTTATTAAAGTGATGATAAAAGTATAATATTGGCGATAGCAAGTGGTGATAAAAACCCCAGTCTGCTTGTTTTGACATTCATCATGATATTGAATCACAAATCACTCTTTGGAAAAAACAATAAAATGTCAAGCTTCGGTACAGTGGGAGTCCCATTCACCACACACCTAGCGATTTCATGATGTCACACAGCAAGTTCAGACAGAAAAGTAGGAAGTGACATTCAGAACCAAGAGAAGTTTTTTGCAGTGTTGCAAATAATCAATAAAAAATCCCCAATGCTGATTGGGGATTTTTCATCGATTAACAGAAAATTGGGGAATTTTTTGGAGTAACTTTTTTCATTTTAATTTTTTTCAGTAGACTAAAACAAAAATTTTGACATGACATAACCTGTGAAATACTGTTTAAACATTGTGATAAAATGTATTGTTCAGAATTATTCATCAAAAAATTATTCAAAAATGATTGCTATTGCTAATTAGGAGAGGACAGAATTCAGGTTTTTAATTCAAATGAAACTTGGTGAACATGTAGCCTTAAGCACAAACAACCCTTTGTCCAAATAATTGGACCCACTTCTCTATCGCTTCAAAAAATTGGGCTTCTGAAAATCTAGTGTTTAGGTTACGTCTTTGGAAGTTCCATGTCCCAGATTGGCAATAACTGAGTGAATAAGACCCTATGTACTGGACCTAGACAATGTAGGTTTGAACCTTCAGTTTTAGTTTTAATTTACAATTTTTTTTATGTATAACTTTCTTATTTTACTGCATCATTAGTATTATTATTACTATTAATATTATTCTGTTTAAAGCTTATAAAATAAGAGATTAAAAATTGTGACGTCATTTCCTGTTTAGTGAAAACAAGTCTCTGTAGAGTTAACTCTTTAATGTTGTTAAATAAGACTAGACTTTGATTTCTTCACATTTAAAACTAAACTACAAAAGCATTAACTAAAATTCCAAAGGTTTCAACCTCCAGAGAGTTGCCTCTTATTCACTTGGTTATATCCGCTCCTAATTCAGATTACACTTCCAAATTCTTATAAGTTAAACATTAAATTTTCAGAAGCCACTTTTTTTGGAAACGTTTGAAAAGTGGGTCCTATTATTTAAATGAGGAGCTGTTTGTGTTTAAAGCTAAGCTTAAACTGGTGGCAATAAACAATATAAAGTTGCGGAATTGTGGCAATATTTTTAAATTTTCCAGAGTGACCTCTGATAATGGGATCTATATCTGATCATTTTTTTTTTTTTTGTTTGGAAGAGATTAGAAGGTTGGATTGGTTAAAAAAAAAAAAGCATGGGAAAGAGATTTCTCTCAGCTTTCAGACAGAATAAATGGGTGTTTCAAAGCAAGAGTGGTTACATAAAGTCTATGGAGATGATGAAGTGGAGTTGAGTATAGTTCTTTAGGACAGAATTACAAGAATTAAGTCAATTTATTTGTAATTCTTTCTTCTTAGAAAGACCACAAACTAGAAGCATCATTTAAGAGAATTTCTAACATTTTTTTATTCACGTTTCTTTACTAATATATTCACTAACTTAAATTTCATTATGTATTTATAAATAGAAGAGCAATCTACTTAATACATATCAGCTGATAAGAAAATTTCACATTGTTTGAAAAGTTTCACTCATGAAAATGAAATCATGCTTTGAAATATTCCCAGATAATCTTGTCTATAGTAAAATGCATTCAGTGTGTTCTTGTAATCTCAACACCATTAAAAAAAGAGCGATTAAATTACACACATACTAGATTCCCTTATGATACACAGCGAGTCAAATAAGCACTGTTTCTTCAACTTTTGTGTGTTAAGTAATTTCTGAATAATTTATACTGTAATTTCATATGTAAAACTATAGAAATTTGTAAAAATCTTGAATTTACTTGTCATATATTTTCTCTAAAAATTGTTTTGCTAAATATTTTTATGCAAAAATATGTAGATATTTTATCAAAATTATTAATCAGTTGCAACATTATCTTTAAAACTTTAAACAAAAAATAATTTTGTATAAATCAGTTTGCATTTTCAGTTTTTATATTTTCCGTGCATGTGTAATTTAAAATTATAAATATAAAATTAAGAAATTAATGGTGTGAAACTTATTAACTGGTGATAAATTAATATTTGATAATTTTATCTAGTTTTCCATTAATATTAAAGATATTAATTAATTTGAATAAAATATTTATTTTGTTTTATTTATTAGGAAATGGAACTTCTAGAGTCCGATTCTAATGTTTATAAACTTACTGGACCAATTCTAATTAAACAAGATTTGGATGAAGCTAAACAAAATGTCAGTAAAAGAATAGAATATATTACCAGTGAACTGTAAGTAAAAAGTTTTATTTAAATATTTAATGACAATTTCACATTATATTATCTTTCTGTTGATTGCAATCAGTACTTATTAAATTAGCTGTAATTGTTTATTAATGGCTGATGTGGAGCAAGAAAAGAAGCATAGAATATAATATATAATATAAACATGTTAGTTTCTTTCATCTTGTAATTTCCTTCTCATGCAAAGCAGTAAAATATAAACATTTTTATCAAATAAATAACATATATATTACAGAATGAAATACAAAATTTCTTGCTGTAATTAACTACAGGTAGGCCTCCTACAACGTGGTAGATATGTTCCTTGAAAATACTGCGTTGTGGGAAATTGCGTTATAGGAAACACTAACTTAATACAAAAACTGGGATTCAGTTCTAAAAAGAGAAAAACTTGGTGTTTGAATGGCATTTTTAAAATTTTTCAAACTAGCCATTGCTAGCCACAAATTTAACACTGGTTTCATCAGCTGATGACTGTCCCATTTGTTTTAAATAATCAAATATTTTTAAGGCTTTGTGTTTAAGTGCACTTTTATTTAAAGGCAACCGTTTCTTGTTCATATCTTCTGCCCATAATATTAGTGCTTGTTCCATTTTTTCTGTTATAGGTGCTCTTGGATGAGCAATTTTTTCTCAAGAATAGATGATCCGGATGCGACCAAATTCCTAATCTTTTCTTCCGATTGCTTAATCAACCGAATAGTTGACTCATTTAAATTAAAATGCCTACCAATATCAGCTATTTGCTCTTGATTTTTAATTCAGTCCAAAATTTATATCTTTGTTTGAAGAGATATAAATTTCCTTTTTGATGACGGTTCTTTTTATTCGGCATTGTTATGGTTAAATTTTTTTCAATCAGTTTTGTGGACAATAAAAATCACAAAAAATAACTTCCTTTCACTATGTTGTTAAAAATGTATACCCAATAAAAGTTTATACTTATTTTGGACCATTTTTGCGGTCCACGCCTATTGAAAGAGTATAAATGATCGAAAATTTAGTGATATATTTGAGTGTTTACGGTAACTGATGCACATCTGCCTAGAAATCAGTCTTCCCCTGAAATTTTCATGGGAACGACACGTCAACGTTGACAAACAGCTGTTTTCAAGGACATTTAGCTATGTACACCAAACTGCGGCTCATATCACGTGATCCATTGCGAGTTTTCTGTTATGTGAAAGATAATTTGTTTCTAAATACCATAAACCATGTTGTAAGAAAATTTCTACATTTTTCCAAACCTGTTGGAGTGAAAACGCATTATAAAGGTACCACGTTGTAGGAGGCCTACCTCTAATTTTACTCAATTATATTTTCTAAGGCTGTGTCCTACGTGGCAGTGTCTAGCGACTGTGAGCGAAAAAATCTTTATATGCGTGTCCAACTCGCAAGTGACTTCTGTCCAGAGTGGAATCATGTTTACAAAATGGCAGCGAGACGACTTTATCAAATGCTTGCTACATAAAATATAACAAACATTAAAATGGTAAATTTGACAGGTAATTGTTATCACTAACTAGATACACAACAAATATAAAGAATCTTCATAGAATAATAAGATAAAAAAAGTTTTATTTTTTAAATGTTACGTTTACAAAATCAGAAATTATTAAATTACATAAAAGATTATTAATTAATTAAAGTACATACAACATATATACACAATTTATTTGTCATACTGTTTTCATTCATCTACAAAATCAGCCATTTTTTTTTGTTGCAAGCATGAGCAGTGGAAGTGATGATCAAACTGGCTTGGTAGCTGCTTCTTGCACATGCACGTAGAAGTGTCATCTGGTGGTTGCTACACGCAACGTAGTTACTCCAGACATGCACATTTGCTTGAACCAGTTTGTCCGCTCTGCTTGGAAGCATGTTTGCGCTCGCGGTCACTGGACACTGCCACGTAGGACATAGCCTAAAGCTATTTTCATGCTGCTACCAATTTAGTATGAAATGACTAAAATTTCTTTTTAATATTTTAAAGTACTTTTACACTTATTCTAATATATGACTACAAATAGTCATTTACTGTTATCATAGAAATGTGAAACAATTTTGAGCTCTGTTCAACATAGAAATGTTGAACAAAGCTCAAAATTTTGTTACATCAATAAGCATATTTGAATCATAAGATTCTTTATGCAAAATGGAGAGAAGACTGATTATATTAGTACAGGAAATCTTTGGCTTTATGATTGAAATGAAAAGTATTATTAAGATGTGTTAAAAAAGAAGAATGGTTGTAGAAAAACAGCCACAGCTTTAGGGACACTGTCAGCTGGGTGATGGTGAGTGTACAATCGTAAAAGGCACCATACATCTGGGCAACAAAATAAGAAATCAGCAATAGAAAAATACAACATTTTTTATTGTTTTCTTTATTAATATCACCATTCTTTTCTATTGATTTCAGTAAATTTAAATAATATTTTTTAAGAAACAAATTAAAAGAACAATTTTGTAATTAACAAACATATTTATACATGTTACATATATTATTTATTTATTTTACAAGTGTATAGAAAAGTCCTGAAAGACAGTTGATATCTACTCCCAAAATTAAGAAAATACATAAAAACAAAGATAATAATTATATAAAATTAAAAATACATTACATTTATACTTTTTTGTTTTAATATATAAAGTTCTTTGAAAAAATTTGTTTTCAAAGAACTGCTTTTCTTTGATATGCTTTGTCAACTGCTTTTGACTGCAATTAACAATGCTACAGTGTTCCAAAATATTCCGCTTCCTAATTTGAAAGTAATTCTTAAATTATAACTCATACCTCATAAGTTTTAACCATATTTTTATATATACGCTAGCTGTTACCTGCAACTTTGCCTGCGTGGTTTTGCAAGCAAACCCCATTTATATTCAGTATTTCAACAACCATAGTAATTGTTATATAACACCTACCGCTGAGAATGATGAAAATTGCTGAGAATCAAACGAGCTGTTTTCAATTTGATCAATTTTCTGGAACGTTTACAATCGTTCTATAATCAAACCAATATACAATAACAAATTTGAATTTAAAATGATTCAAATATTTGGTTAAAAAATCGAAAAATATAAAAATATTTATAACAATGTATGAAATGTTATCAGTTTAATACACATAAGTACTCAATGAAGACTAAACATAGTTGAAAACAAAAAATCACATCTAAAATAGTACAGTAGAATCCGTTCTTCAGGTTAAGCCTTAATGCTCTCCCTCTCCCTCCGCGGGGGGAATTTCGAAAAATCTCTTCTTCACCAAATTTCAATTCTAGGTTCAGCGGTTTGCTCTGGGCGAAGATGAATCAATCACTCAGTCAGTCAGGACAAGTAATTTTATATATTTAATATTTATTTATTTAGATTTTACCAATATTTACAAAAAAATTCCACCAAATCATATGCTTGCTAAGCATGCAAAAATTTTTAAGTTTCTGTCATCCAATTAACCATTGTCCACTTGACTATTATCCATTGTGAACTGCCCAATTGACCATTGTCCAGCTGTCATGTACCCCAGCTTTAGACCTGACAAGTAAATATCCTGTAAGTAAATGGGAAATTTTGTAAGTTTGTTTATAACCATAGAATAAATATTATATAAAGATGACACTCTAACTCTTTTATATTGTGCCACCAAATTTGACTAAGAATCCAGTATGACAATGCAAGTTTACTACACATGCAAGAAGTTGGAAAAAGTGACATCTCTGTCCTAGATAGCACTACATATATGCATAGCAGATATTTTTAAAGCATTTCCTGTCAGTAAAAATCAAAATATGCATGGTTGTATGTATATTAGGTAAAGGTTTCTATATGTTCAAGGTATCCACAGCAAATTTGGCATGAATATTCTTTGACACACTAGAAAAAAAATACTATGTGGGATATCCAGTCCCAACCATCCCTATAGCTCACCTTCTCTTAAATTAAGCCTGAGCAATTTTGTGTTTTGCAGTTTTATTATTGTAAATATTCAGTTCAATAAATATATATATTTACTAAGATCATTGTATTTATCATTCTCTCCCATCCTAAGCTCACCAATCCCTCATCCCCTCAAAAGCCTAAGCAATGCTGGACACAGAGCTAGTAATCAAATAAAAAAATCAACTCAAATCTAATCATATCATATAAAATAATTAATTTTTCCTTATTTTATTTGTTGATATTCTTCAAAAAAGGACACATGGTGGATGGGGCCATTGGAAATTGGAAAATTTTTAGAGATGTTAGTAGGACTGTTCCCTATATATTTGTAGCTGCTGCTTGACAAGTTCTATCCATCCATGTGAAAAGTTGTATAGAAGTGTGATAAGATGCATATATTCTGTATTAAAGAATGTTCTTAATTATAACTACAATGCAAGTAAAAAAAAACTGAAAATTAGTAAAAGTATATGTTTAATAAAGCATTTTAAGCTATGAATGTTTTACTAAAATGTTCATAATTTTATCAGATTTACAGTTTATCTGCATTCATTCTGCTTGAATCACCATCTTACTTGCTGTATTATCAGTTCTTTCCATAATATTTATATAATTTATAGTTTAAATTATAATAAATTATTAAATTATATATGCAGAGTTCCTAAAAGTCAGTTAACAGACATATTTTAAGATTTATTCAGTCACTTCATTGGGAGCAACTGATTTGTGAATTCCCGTAGAAATTCCAAACTAATTCTAATCATTCTTTAAATATTTGTTGGTTAACTGAGTTTTGGGTTACCTATATTAATTTTTTTTTAATTAAAGTAAATCTTTTATAGGAAAAGACATGATTCAACTTTACAAGAATTAGAAAAGAAACAGGATAACCAAAGGGAAGTGATTAATAAATTGCAACAGCAATTCCAACAGGCGCAAGTTAAAGCGGCTATGAAAGCATAATAAACCTCTTGCGAGATTTGGTATATTTATTGCAACATTGTTTTTTTTTTTTAAATAGCAATTTTACAGTTTTAATAAAATTATTACATTGATTTGCAAAGATTTTCTATACTTAAAAATATTAATGTTTATACACAACCATAATTATCAGTTTAATAAAATATTTTTAACATTAACTATTTAGTATAATACAGTTTGTTTGTATCACAAAAACATTATTAATAATTTTATTTATTATGCTAATGAATGACACGATAAAAGATGTATTACTACTTATTAATAAAATAAATCAATATATATGTTTTTCTTTGAAAGTTTATAGACAGTAGTGTAGCTTTTTGTCATTTAATCAGTGTTTTTGTAGTTTGAAAAATCTCTATACTACTAATTTTAAATGTATGAAACCAGATGGCCAAGCGGTTAAGGTCCCACTCCTGTGGGGAACCCGGGATTAAATCCGGACAGGTCAGAAAACCCCAGGAATTTTTGGGGGTGGTTTGTTCAGATATATCAGGTCCTGTCCATCCCATCACAGGTCTGGTCAAACCAACAGTGAGGTTATTAAAACAGACCTTAATGTCCAAGGGGAGGAAAGGACTTCAAAAAAATATATATTTAACTAAACAGAACGTGTAATAAATCAGATGAAAATGTTATATGAGAATAATAATAATGATAAATTTTAAATTGCAGTCCAAACTTGTACTAATTCAAATGCACTTAATCCAAATCTAAACAAAAAGTAATCAGGTAATTTGATATTTATTTGTACTGCACATTGTAATATAAATGTATGCACCAAACACAAAATTTTACATTGATAATATGTGTAATATATATATATATTTGTCCATGGGTTGTAATTGGGTGATTGCTGCTGAGATTTTATATTGTAAATGTGCGCTATCAATAAGTATATTCATTTTTGAATTTGTTTCCCTTATTAAATGTGCATGACTCAAAATGGAACTTTATTTTTCAGATTGATTTAAAAATATGAAGCATAATAACAGTAAAATATTCGTTAATAATTAAAAAATGTGACTAATATTATATGTTTAATAAAATTGTCAAGATAGTAATTGTAAAATTAACAAATAATTTAAGACTACGATAAATTTTCCTGACATGAGAGAAGGAATGAGAGTTTTTATTGTATTACTTATTAATTACTGTCCTGGCAATTTTATTAAATGTATATTATGTATTTTATTTGTAGTCACCAGAAGGTGTTTTTTAATATTTTGCATAGTGAGGTGGACAAGGAGCATCTAATAAAAGGTTGACTCTGCAGTAAGATTGTTATTTTCCTGAAGTTTGAGAAAGGACAAAAGACGTTTTATTGTATAGCCTTAAATTATTTGTTAATTACAACTAATATTATTTATTTTAATACACAAATTAGAAATTGCTCTCGAGATTTGTTTCCAGATGCACTTCAGTATTTGTTCTATAGTCCTTTTAGAGTTTTAGCTTCTTTATAACCATACTAATCTGAAATTTTTAATTATCCAGACAACTTATACAACAATTTGGATTATCAACAGAGCATTGTGTATATGTTGTATTTTAAAGTAATGTCATTTTTTTATCTCTGGATATAGTTTAATGGTTTTAAATAGTAGTTTTTATTGCTGTTTAAAGAATCCAATGCTCAAAATAAGCCATAATTGATCCTAGAAATTAATATTAATGATTTAGAACTACCGAAAACAAATTTAACCAGATATTTTGTTCTTGCATCTGAATTTTGTTTTATTTAAATAAAAGGATTCCAGAATATTTACAAAATTTTGTTTCAAGTAATGAAGTTTGTTTTTATTATGAAAAGAAAGCAATGGTAATGATGTAAATTCAGTTTATTTATGAAAATCAAAATAGAATAAAATGATTTATGTTTTTGAACAGGAACACGGAAAGTTTGAGACCGTCATATCATTGAAAAGATTAAGTATTATACGATAAAACCTCTACAGAAATACAAGGCCATCATGACGATCCAGTTTAACACGCAGTAAAACAAGAAAATTATACAGAAATTCTCAATCGAATCTTCATCATTCATTATCAAGAATGCCATTAGGCTTCTCCCTTGCACTAATTTAAATTTGGATGCTATTTTTGTTGTTAAGTTCCATCGAGTCGTCGTCGACTCCTGGTGACTTCATGGACAAGTCTTCTCCATCTTGATCTTTCCCTTGTTGTCTCTCATAGCTCCTCCAGCTTCATTTCTGCGACTTTTTTGATTTCTTCTATCCATCTTATCTGTTGCCTTCCCCTCTTCCTTCTACCTTCCACTTTTCCCAGCATAATAGTCTTCTCTAGGGAAACTTCTTTACGCATCACATGTCCAAAGTAGGTCAATTTTTGTTTTAAGATTCTTGACTCTAAGGAGAAGCTTGGCTTAATTTTTTCTAAAATTGAGATATTTGTTTTCTTTTCTGTCCATGGAACTCTAAGTAATCTTCTCCATACCCATAATTCGAATGCATCTATCATTTTTCTTTCCTTTTTCCTTAGAGTCCAGCTTTCACAGCCATATAATGTTACAGGGAAAACCATTGCTTCTACAATTCTTTTCTTAGTATGAATGGAAATGTCTTTATCTTTCATTATCTTGGTGAGATTTGCCATGGCTGTTCTGCCAAGATTAATTCTCCTCCTGATTTCTCCTTCACAACTTCCATTCCTTTCTATCTTTGAGCCCAAAAGTATGTAACTTTCTACCACTTCAATTCTTTCACCATCCACAATGAAATCTTTTAACTCTTTAGTTGACATTACTTTAGTTTTCTTTACATTTAGCTTCAAACCAAATTTAGCACTTTCTTCTTTTACCCTTATGATAATTTTTTCTAAATCTGCTTTGCTTTCTGTCAAAAGGGTGGTATCATCTGCATATCTTATATTATTAATAGTTTCGCCTCCAATCTTGATACCAATGGACTCTTCATTTGTAGTAACCATTCTCATGATATATTCAGTATATAAGTTAAACAGATATGGAGACAAAATGCAGCCTTGTCGCACCCCTTTCTCAATTTTAAAGCATTCAGTTTCTCCGTATAGAGTTCTTACTTTTGCTTCTTGTTCATTGTAAAGACTCATCAATAAAGATATAAGGTGTTCAGGAATTCCCATGCTCCTGAGTACTTTCCATAACTTGGAGTGATCCACACAATCGAAGGCTTTACTATAGTCTATAAAACAAAAGAAGGCGTCCTTCTGGTACTCTTTTGCCTTTTCTAGAATCCATCTGATGTTGCTAATTTGATCGCGAGTTCCTCTTCCCTTTCTAAATCCAGCCTGTTCCAGTGGCAATTCTCTTTCTAAATATGGCTCAATTCTCTTCTGTATTATTTTTAACAGAATCTTACTTGCATGGGGAATTAGTGCGATTGTTCTATAGTTGGAACATTCTCTTGCATTGCCATTTTTTGGGATTGGTATAAAAATGGATTGCTTCCACTCCTTTGGCCAAACCTTCTTTTCCCATATTTGTTGGCATAGCTTTGTTAGTATTCTAATTCCTTCCTCTCCAGCTGCTTTGAGCAGTTCCACTGGAATTCCGTCAGTTCCTGCTGCTTTCCCAATTGAAATTTGGTTGATTGCCCATTCCACTTCTTCCTTCAAAATTGATGGTTCCAAAGTAAAATGTCTTCCTTCAATTATTTCTTCTATATTATTATCTGCTTTATAAAGCTGTTCTGTATATTCTTTCCATCTTCTCTTTATTTCACTTTCTTCCATTAAATCTTTTCCATGTGTGTTCTTTAAAATACCAAGCCTAGGGGTAAATTTTCCAACGACCTCTTTAATTGTTTTGAAGAGATCCCTTGTACGTCCTTTTGCATTATTTAATTCAACATCTTTGCATTTATTATTAAAATATTAAAATGGATGCTATTAGAATTCCTCTATTTGCAACTGATTATAAGTAACCTCGTTATAAGTAACCGCCACGGATCGCTTTCTCCATCGAGATTGTATCTTGGAACCACCCTCCGAAACGAGGCCCACTCTTAAGTTGCCTTACAAGTCATACCAGTAATAAGTTCCTTGAAAAAATTAACATAAATTTAGTGTGGAAGTAGTGTAAACTTTAAACATTATTTTTCAGTCTTGATTTACCTAAGAGATAAAATGTACAAAAGTACTGTGGTAAGACTTGCAATTGTATGGCACACTTTTACATTGGAAACTGGAAAGAAATGCCAGAAATCATCTCTCAAACTAAATTTAGTTTATATAGAATCTAAAGATTTACAACAATCAGGTTGGTTATAGATATACAATGCCTTCAGATAGTTTATATTATCATAAGTAGCATAAGTTCTCATATTTTACAATTATATTTCTTTAAATTAGGACATATCTAGCATACATTAATACATTCATTTGATTAAAACCTTAGTTAAATATGGCATTGAATTTGTTATGTTGACTCACTAGGTAATGTTTGTTAGGTGAATGAGAGTGCTCGTTATTAGCATTTTAAATTTATTATAAGACATCCCTGCCCTCAAAATTAAGCTTTTCGCCATTTTATAATAGTTAAAAATGTAAAAGGTTTTTAATAAAATATGATAATAGATGGCGCCACCAAAGTTTTGAATGTTGCCGAGAAAGTTCAACAACTCGTTTGTCTACTAGTAGCCCGGGACGCTCCCTAGTGGGCGTTCTTTACAAATTCCCATGAGGTACGGTTCCTTTGACTTTTTTTATTCCCAATCGTGTTATACGGATCTAGATTTCTACCTATTAAACATTCTATAAATACTTTAATTTGTTTATTTACCTTCGCTTGTAAACCGATTTTAAATGTATCCGCCATCTTTTCAACAAATTTCCCGTCAGTCAATGCGCGACGTTCACTGACTTATAAGTCACGGGATGTTGTAAATGTACTGCGCAAGGTTAATCACGGCATATAATAAGACAAGGCTAGGCATATAATAATTATTTATACCATTCCGTGGTATAAATAATAAATTCTTATTACAAATAAAAATAATTTTGCTAATTTAAAATCATCGCTAGGGCGCCTCTAGTGTCCGTTTTTGGCATACCGTTACGCGGACGGACACGCGTTCAATGGGTATAGCACTAGCGTAGCGAGGGGGGCGTCAATAAAGCGTCGTGCCCTGACGCCAGTTATGTTCGCTACGCCGCTGTATTAAAGCAGGCTTAAGATGTGGCACGTGAACTGAAAAAGGTTGGCCATCCCTGGTCTAGTGTGACTCCACTAGTACCGGCGTGTGCCTATAACAGTCATTCGCTGGAATTTTAACGTAATTCATGGGCAAAATAATGC